CTTTATTGAGGATCCAACACAGGTTCTTACACATGATAGCAAGGGATGAACCCCAGAAGGGAGAGCATATTGATAAAATTCCAAGTTAGACTGTGAAAATATAAGTATCTTAAGTGTCAGATTGGGTTTTTAGTTCCAAGTAACCTAGCACTTAGTGTGCAATTGCTTTTTCTTTTTCTTTTTTTTTTTTTTTTTGCGGAAGCAGGGGTTGAACTCAGGCCCTTGTGCTTGCCAGGGAAGCGCTTATTCCACTGAGCCATCTTCCTGGCCCCTAAAAGTGCATTTCACTCTTTTCTTTTCTTTTCTTTTTTTTTTCCTGCCCTTTAGTTTTGTGTTGAGAAGTTTGCTGTAATTCTAATAGATTTACATTTTTAAGTGACTTACTGGTTTTCTCTAATAGTTTTTAAGATTCTGTTCTTGTGTTGGACTTCTGGGATTTTGACTGATGTGCCATAGAGAAATTCTTTTCCAGTTGTGGCTATTTGGAGTTCTGTATGTCTTCTGTAGGGGCCCCAGTCCATACACCCCGGTTCCAGCAACTGAGCTTTCTGTTGGATGTAGGCAGTGAGTGGTGTGGGGGTATGGTTAGGAGTTAACGTCAGCACTTTCAGATCCAGCACCACACACAGCTGGCCTAGCTTCTTGGAGGATAGTTTCCTTGTGACCCTTACAGCCTGAGCTTTCTCTTCTGGGAGGATCTGTATCTAAACAGTGCTGTCTCCACTACTGTCTTGTGACTGTCTCCCACCCAGTCACTGTGTTAGAGTGAACCAGAAACTGTGAAGTATAGTTGTTCTTTAATTCAGTCTTAAGCATCTAACCACTTCCCAAAATGTGGGGTTTGGGGGCTTTTTTGTTTGTTTGTTTTATTTTGTTTTTTGAGGCAGGGTCTTGTTGTGTAGTTCAGACCGACCTTGAACTCACTGTATAGCGCAGGCTGGCCTTGGCTTGAATTCTTGGTCATTCTCCTGCTTCATCATTCCAGTGTTGGGGTTACAGGTGTGTGTGACTACACCCAGCTATCCAAGATGATCACTATTAAAGTATTCAAAGATAGCAGGTGCTACAATGGATTTTGCCTCGAACTCTAGTCTGATGGGAAAAGAGTCACTTAGAGTAAAGCCCATGCTGTTTTTGCAGTGTGCTTCTGGGGCTCATACTGCCAGCCCAGTCCATTGTTTCTGTCTTGACCTGCTGTCTATCTCTGGGTTGTCTTGTGATTCCCGTCCCTATGAGCTAGTTTTTTTTTTTTTTTTTTCCTGGCTGCTCCATTCTCTTTTCTGTGTTGTGTTTTGTTTCTCTGTAGATCAAATTTTCCTTTCATCTTCCTCCTAACTCCTAGAAATCTTTTTTTCTTCACCAAGTTGTTTTCTAGGTGTCTTGATTCTAGTCCTAGAGAGACTGTATTTTGTTTCCAGTCTCTACTTCACTATTTTTCATTTCCTGTTTTATGATACACCTGTTCAGACTTTTCAGTGTAATAGGATCATTCCTGGTTGCTGTGTTGCAATGAAAGAGCCACTGCCAGTTTTATCAGCATCTGCAGAACCAACCATGTATTAATCATGTAATATAAAGCTTGTTTTAATAAATTTCCTTTTTAACCCAGTAAGACTGAGATGTAGTACTGATGGTAAATAAACTAGGGTGTAAAACATGAGACAAGGAAAAAGAAAGAAGCAGTGAATGGATAACTGAGAAAGGAGGAAAGGATTAAAAAGTAAACAACAAAGGAAGAAAAGAGATAGAACTTTGTTGATATTATTTTAAATCTGGATTGGAAGGCTAGTGGGTTGGATTTTAATTGGGATTAGAGAGTTTGAGCAAGTACCAACTAATAATGCTGTAAGAAGTTTGAGTCTATGCACTTTTTGGTGAGAATTCACATGCCTATGAATGATACTACCTAAAGTGTGAATTATTTTTCTCCTTGTGACATCCAAATAGCTCCCATATTATATATATTATAAATAAATAAATTGAAAGAAGAGAAAGAAAAGAGGGAAAAAAGAAAAGCCATGTACCTGCAAAAATCAAGTATCCTTTTATTCCTATTTGTTCTATTTGTACTAGAATTTTTGTATTTTTTAGGGAAGGGTCTATAAGGTGTTCAGGGTCTCACTAGTAGATCAGACTCGTAGTGATATGCCTGTTTACAGCCTCCCAAGAGCTGGGATTACAGGCACGCGCCACCATGCCCAGTCTCATTTGCCATCTCAGCACTCCCCAGGGGCAGGTCTGGCACGGCAGGCCCAAGGATCGAATCCCTGGCTCTTGAGCTTGCTTGCAGGCACTTTAATCCACTGAGCCATTTGACCGACCCTTTATGGTCAGAATTTGACCAGCATGCTCTTCCTCCTATCTTCAGAAGTGGAGAAATTTTGAAAATTGGAGAAATTTTGAAAAGTGGAGAAATTTGTAGCTGTTGTAGGTGTTGAGCACCACCACTCTTTGTGGTTGGCCCTAGAAGGTTCCAGTCCAGTGATTGGTTTTCTTGCCTGCCAATGAGTGAAGGAGCTTCTGAGTCAGATGGACCCTGTGTCCATGTCTTGTTCTTCTGCGGCAGTGTTCTGCTTGATTTCAGTTGCACTCCTGTGGGCTTTATTAGCTGGAACATCTGATTGGATACTTTCAGTTATGTATGGATGTGGAAGGGCCCGGTATGGTTGCTCCAGTACCCACTTTCCTGCTGATTTCATAAGGGCTTTGATCTCTGCCCTCTTCCCTCCATGATAAATCCCTATAGATGTTTAGGTGTGTTCTTTCTGTACTGCTCTGGATGAGGAAATAGTACAGCCCCTTCTGACTATACATCTCTTTTCCCCAACTCTCTTTTCATTCTAAATTCTCTGGAGCGTTTGAACTTTGTAGTTCCTGTGGTTTGCAGAGTTCTACAGCTTTTGGCTGGTTATGGGAGGGTTGTTGTCAGATACTAAATTCTGCATCATTTGGATGGCAGGCAGCAAGCAATATAGCTCATGGTGTCAGATCTTACCAGTGTTTGGGAGAGTGATGGAAGAGTTCCTACTTCAGCAGTGCTTGAGTGTCTGTCCACTTCTTCTGGATCACACTGGTTAGAACTACTACCCTTCCCTGTAACCTGACCCACAGGTTCTGAGTCCCATAACCAGGACCATAACCTAGTTTCTTTCTTTCCCAGGGGTCCACAGAGCCTTCTGCAGTCTTTCACCTCCAAATGATTCTCTGGCATTCAGTTTCTCTAATGCCCTGATCTGCAAATATCTCATTTGCTGGGCTCCCTCCCCCAGTGAAAAAGGAGTTACAATATGTGGGAGGTTGCTAGGCTAGGTGCTGATAGCAGTGCTGCTGTGGTACTCAGCTCCTCACTCAATGGATTAGATCCTCTTTCAAGACGTTATGTTCTCTGGACTCATTCTGTAAGTGGTAGCATCAAGGAACAGCTAAAGTTTCTCTTTTAATTAGCTCTGATACTGGAATTCATCTGGTGTATTTAGCCCTTGTTTTCAAGTGCCTGTGTTTACTTTTTGTACATCTTTCCATGAGCACCACTGCCTGTACTCAGCATGGTAGAATCTAATTGGTAGCTCTTGAGACTTATGTAATGTTTCTGTAGGCTATTTGTAATATGGAAATAGCACATTACATCTTAAAGCAATTCTACTTTCATCATAGTTATTCACCGTGGCAAGACTACAGTGGAAAACTGTGTACTACAATGTGAAACTACAGGTGTCACAGTACGAACATCAGCAGAATTTCTAATGAAGAACTCAGATTTATATGGTGCCAAGGTATGATAAACTTTCATCTTTTGGGGGAAGTAATTATTAGGTTTAAGAAACAAGTACATAATCAGGATGTAGATTCGTACTTTTCTTTAAGCAAGCTCAGACATTTATCTCTACTAAGTCAGTCAAAATCTTTATGTAGTCATTAGGAGCACAAGAACACAGTAGCTGCCTAACAGGAGAAGCATTGAATCTCATAATTTCTCACAATTTCTTTTTCCTTTTTCCTTTTTTTTAAAATTGAACTCAGGACCTCACACTTGCCAGGCAGAGGCTGTGCCACTGACTTTTTTTTTAAATGTATTTAGAATGGGGTCTACAGGGTCTCATGACACAGATCGGACTTGTAGTGATCCTCCTGTGTTTTCAGCCTTCCAACTGTTAGAATTATAGACCCGCACCACCACACCCAGTATCAGTTACATCTCAGGGCACCCCAGGGGTGTGGCTGGCACAGCACACCAGGGATCAAACCCCAGTCCCTGCATTGACAATTTAAGAGAAGTTTAGAACCTAGAAATTGTAACTCTGTAAAAATTTTTAATATCTGAAGCTTAGTCCCTTTTTAAAAGTATTTTGGGTTTTTGAGGGGTTTTTGTTGTGTGTGTCTATGCTACCAAGATTGAACTCAAGACCTCGCACTTGCCAGTCCAGCCCTAAAAAAGCCTTTTAATACTGAGATAATTGTATATTTACATGCTCATATGAGAAATAGTACCTAGATCCTTTATCCTTTTGTCAGCTTCGGTAGTAGTATCATCTTGTAAAACTATAGGACAATATCATAAAAAGATATTCACATTGATTCAATCAAAGTAAGGACTATTCCCACCACCCCAAGGATCTTTCATCTTGCCATTTTATAGCCAAACCTACTTATCTGTCCCATCAGCCTCTTCCTTAACTGTTGGCAAGCTCGCATTTATTCTCTGTTTCTGTTATTTCACCATTTGAAGGATGTTATAAATGGAATTACCCAATATGTAGTCTTTTAGGATTGCCTTTTTTCATGTACCATGATTCTCTGGAGCCTCAGCCAGATTGTAGTATGTGCCCATATTTTGTTTTTTATTACTAAGTCCAAAGTGTAATTTTTTGCTTGTTTATTCAGCTATGAAAGAATATCTATGATTTTTGTTTTCTAATTTTTATTAATATGAACTTGAACAAAAATATTTGCATAAATTAGTTAACCTCATATTTAATGATGAAATACTGAATACATTTCTCCTAATACATCTCTCCAAGGTAGAGCCAGGAGTGGTGGGTAGCACATGCCTGTAAAATCCCAGCACTCTTTTTTTTTTTT